GAGGTTCTGCCAGGGGCACAGGTCAGAGAAGCGGTGAGTGGTGATACAGGCCTCAAATCCTCTCACTAACCACTCTGCTGCCTGGGAAGACACCGAGTCTCCAGTAAAAGGGTCAGGCATCTGCAAAGCTGTAGGTTAGAGGCAGGTGGGAGACGAGGAGGGGTGCCAGGCTCAGGAGGTGACTGTGTGGGAGTCAGTCAGTCATGGCAGGGCCAAGCAGCCGCTGCCAGCCCTGCTCCAGCCTTTTTCAGCCCAATTGGAAAGTTCTTTTGGCCCAGTGGCACAGTGACCTACTAAGAGCCAGTGGAAGGATATGCATGAACACATCAGAGAAGTTGTTACTCCTTTGTTCTTAGGCAGTGGGACCCAAGTTGGGATCTGGTGAATCTGTAACAAAAACTCACTAGGGGCTAGAGCTCAGTATCTCTGCCCATTGTTGGGTTCTGGTCACAGTACTGAGGTTTTCCTCTGTCTTTCTGGGTGAATTTCTCTAGTAGCATTAGAGTCTTGAAAGAACTGGCTTACTGTTCAGAGTTTTAAAATGCCAGCCCAAGAGCAGATTACAAGGTGTGCTAAAAAGTGGCAGAAAAACCACACTGTCACAACGGCCACGTGCACCTTGGTTTACAAAGGCCATGTTCCTGAAAAGTACATCAAATCATATTTAAAATGAGCCTGGAGAAGTGTCTCATGAAGTGAAAACTCTGTGGGAACCTTTGCAAGATGAGTTCATCCTTTTGCAACCATGACGTAATATGTTCGAGATTTTGCATATCTGGCTTCCTAAATGCATCTCAAGTCAGGTCTTCATTAGAATGCTGCGTCCATTTGCCATTCACAAGTAGAGAGGGCCTGAAAGAGAAGAAAATAGTTATCAAAGCTTGAGCTCATATTATACCAAGACATCCTTACTTTTCATGTAGAAATGCTTATGTCCGAAGCACCTGTTGTAACCACCAGGAATGGATGCTGTCTGATTTGTTCCTCCAGGTTGTTATAACTCATGTCTGTGGTGATTGAGCTTTACCATCATGTTCTTGTAGTGTTTGTGCGTATGTGTGTGTGTGTGTGTGTGTGTGCGCGTGCGTGCGCACACATGCGCACGTGTAGCCCTACTCCTCCCCAACTCAATAATAAACTTGAGGTAGACCTGCTTGGGAACTCTTTTCCTCCCTTTACCCATAAACATGCTGTTGATAAGTTGCTTCTACCCTCTACTGTTGAAAATCTAACTGCAGCTTTAACTCTAAGAAGTGCTCTCTGAAAAGAAGTGTCCCACCTTAGGGTCAAGGAAGAGCGAAGGCCTGCATTGTTGTTATCGATCAGCCTGTTTCAGAGGTGACCCACATGACACATGGCTAGAGATCTGGGGACACAGTTATTTATTCAGAAAGGGGATAAATAATAAATCACTACTCTGCTAGTGTATTAAACTGTAAGCACTGGCTTCGGTTATGGTGAGATGGATCTGTTTTCGGTAATGAGACAAGTTCATCCAGCCCAAAGCTGCCCTAGGCCATTCTAAAAGAACACACCTCCTGTAATTAGATGTTTCAAACATGTGATCAGTTATGGGACTAAAAGAGCAGAAGGAGTAGCTTTTACGTTCTTTGTGGTTTAAGTTTGAAAAATTATTCAAGTATTTGTTTGAAGATATAGTTTCATTCATTGACTTAGTGAGGATAGACTATGGGTGGGGTAAGGGAAGGGAAAGAGCCTGTCAAGCAAGGGTTTGAATCCCAGCTGCACCTCTTTGTAGTTACTGGGGATAGCAATCCCCATCTCTCAGACTCCCTGCAGAGCTAACGAAATAATGCCAGGTGAAATGTATTGTGGCTCCTGGCCTGTCATAGATGCACAGTGAAGGGCAACAAATGACATGTCGTTTTAGCATCTATAATAAGTCTTTTTTCTATGCTGCTAATGTCACTCCCAGTTTTGTTTCATTAATGAGCTCATTGTTGATATAAAGATGATTTTTATTCAGGAACTGAAAGAATAACAGTCCACAGCAATTATTAACCAGTGAGCTCATATGCAGTACTTATGAGTGTCAGAGCTGTCCCGGCCCCACCAAACGACTCAATCAGAGTTCCTGAGAGCAGGCCTGGGTGCTTGAGTGTCAGACCTCACAGCTGAGTACTTGCCCTGGCTAAGAAACAAGATGTTATTCCTGATTTGTTGTTGTTGTTGTTGTTAGGTGCCGTCAAGTCGGTTCTGACTCATAGCGACCCCACGCACCACAAAACGAAACACTACCCAGCACTGTGGCATGCTCAAAATCATTGGTGTGCTTGAGCCTATTGTTGCAGCCACTATGTCAGTCCGTCTCGTTGAGGGTCTTCCTCTTTTTTGCTGACCCTCTACTTTGCCAAGCATGATGTCCTTCTCCAGGGACTGATCCCTCCTGACAACATGTCCAAAGTATGTAAGATGTAGTCTCGCCATCCTTCCTTCTAGGGAGCATTCTGGCTATACCTCCTCCAAGACAGATTTGTTTGTTGTTTTGGCAGTCCATAGTATATTCAGTATTCTTCACCAAGATCATAATTCAACGGCATCAATTCTTCTTTGGTCTTCCTTATTCACTGTTCAACTTTTGCATGCATACGATGCTATTGAAAATACCATGGCTTGGGTCAGGCGCACCCTAGTCTTCAAGGTGACGTCTTTGCTTTTCAACACCTGAAAGAGGTCTTTTGCAGCAGATTTGCCCAATGCAATGCATCTTTTGATTTCCTCACTGCTGCTTCCATGGGCAGTGATTATGGTTCCAAGTAAAATGAAATCCTTGACAACTTCAGTCTTTTCTCTGTTTATCATGATGTTGCTTATTGGTCCAGTTGTGAGGATTTTTGTTTTCTTTATGTTGAGGTGTAATCCATACTGAAGG